ATATGTGGAATCAAGTGAACAAAATAAACAAAATAGAACCAGGGACATGGAGCATTGGAATAGACTGATGTCAGAGGGGAGAGATATAGGGAGGACTGGATAAAAGTACCAGCAGGTGAGAAGATTAGCCACAAAACATATATACATAACCCATGGACACAGACAATAGGTTGGTGAAGACCTTGGGATAGGGACAAGTGTAGGTTCGGGGGGTTATTGGGAGGAAAGGGGAACATTGGTAATACTTTCAACAATACAGTTATTTTTTTTTAAAAAAAAGAATAGTTGTATGGACCTCTAGAATGTGTTGTCAGAGAATGCCTTAGTTAATATAAGATGTAGAAGCTACTGCCTGAAGGAAGATGGATGCAAAGGAGAATCTAAGACAAGATAACAGCATGTGCTACTGTCTTCCTATCTGAAATCCTTTGGCTTTCGGAAGGAACTAGAACTTGGCCACTGAGGCTACAGAGCTATTTTAGTGTAAGTGGCACAGACCCCATCCCCCCTCTCACACTTTTGTCTCTCCGTCCACAAAGCAGTTGTGTAAATCAAATCATGTCACTGCTCTGCTCCAAATGCCTTAATAAATCCTTATGAATTTCAAATCCTAATGTCCTTGCCATGGCCTGGGGAACCCTAGGGCTCCTGCTGCTATTTGGTGTCTTAGGCTCACCTTAGAGCCTTTTCCTTTCCATACTGCTCTTGTCATGTGATCCTTCTGCCACTTCCTAGAGCCCTCCAAACTCATCTGCAGTTTCTTATTCCTATGCCAAGATTACTTTTTGGGGGATAGGGTTGGGGAGAGTGATGGGAGGGTTCTTTATCTACATGGCTCTTTTCCTTTCTTAAGGTCTCAGCCAATATTAACTCCACAAAAGGCTCTTTCCCAATAGCCCCTTCATTATCTATTACAATTATCTATCAATTTTCTTCCTCTAGTCTGTACTTGCCTATTGTATAGTGTACATCTTCTACAATGAGAGCTACAGGATGGCAAGGACCATATTTGTGTTCTTCACTGTTCTCTGGATTCTACCTATGCCTAGCACAGAGTAGATTGGCATACAATAAATAGTCATTGAAAAATGAATAAATAAGCATTTGAATAAATGACATTGGAGAAGCATGACTATTTAAATCATCAGAATGGCTTAGCTGGTGTGGCCCTGTGGTTGGGTGTCAACCTGTGAACCAGGAGGTCATGGTGCAATTCTCCATCAGGGTACATGGCCGAGTTGCAGACTCAATCCCCAGTAGGGGGCATGCAGGAGGTAGTTGATCAATGATTCTCTCTCATCATTGATGTTTCTCTCTCTCCCTCTCCCTTCCTCTCAGGAATGAATAAAAAAGAAATTTAAAAAATCATCAAAATGAGTCCAGATTTTTTCTAAGTGTAATGGGAAATCAAGATTGGTTATAAACTGGTTACCAATATATCATACATATTTTGATAAGAAAATTCTGAAGACTGTATGAAAATATGTTTGGGACAGGCAAGAACGGAAGTAGGGGGCACATTAGAAGGCTATTGCAGTGGTCCACATCAGAAGGGGGGAAGTTATATATATAGAAGAGAATGTTTGTAGACAGGTTGTGTTGATCCAATGATCACCAACATCAAAGTGTGGGGGAAGGGAAAGAAGTACCAAGACTTGCTCTAATTCTGATGGGTAAATGAATAGGTGCTGGCACACTCAACTAAATTAGAAAGGCAGTGGAACAATAAGGCTACCTGGAGAAATAAAAAGATATAATTTTTAGATGTGTATGAGTCTTTTCTTTGAGAACTTTGCTGTGAAGGGTGGTAAAAAAATCAGGAAGTAGTTAATAGAGATGTGGGACCAATGGAGGTTATGTTGACAAACAGAATCTCTTAAATTCACCTACTGATAAAATTTACTTTTTTAAAAAAAACATCCACATTAAATCCACCTTTCCTAGAGATTTTGAAATGCTAGCCTGTGATAGACCTGGATAGTTGTTCGTTTAATATCCTTGTTATTCTTATCACCAGGAAAATTTGAGAAACAATGTAATAGAATATATTTCTATGATAATGAACCTTTAGAAAGGAAGAAATAGGATATGTAGGAGAGATTGAGAGAGAGGATTTGCCTCTGACAAGTAAAAGGACACTTCCTCTCTTCTAATTAGAGATAAGAAGAACAAGATATGTGAATGTAGGCACCACTAAGTTTCTATTTAGCTGCTAGAATTTCCCATTTGATAACTTTTATTTTCTCAATAAATTATGTGGCAAGGGCATCACTGGGAAATTAAAGGTGGAAGGCAATGAATTCAATCAATTGTAAAAAAGGATGAAATAATCATTGTCAAAAGTGGGAAACCAAATTTTCTACAATGAAAGATTTATTGATGTATGGTAATTTGAAGTTGTTGTTAATAAAATCATAGTGACACAATCTTCTCTGTTTCATATTTCAACTAGAGGCCCACTGTACAAATTCATGCACTAGTCAGGTCCTTCGGCCTGGCTTGTGGGATCAGGCCGAAACCGGCTCTCTGACATCCCCCGAGGGGTCCTCGATTGCAAGAGGGTGCAGGCTATGCCCAGGGACCCCACTGGTTCATGATTGGAGCTGGGGATGGACACGGGAGGTTGGCCAGCTGGGGAGAGACTGTGGTAGGGCTCTAGGGCATGTCCAGCCCATCTCACTTAGTCCTGATCAGCCGGACCCCAGAGCAAAATAACCAACTAGTCAGAGCATTTGCCTCCTGGTGGTCAGTGTATGTCATAGCTATTGGTCGACCAGTTGACTGCCTGCTCCCTGTTGGTCAGTGCACATCATAGTGAGCGGTTGAGTGGCCGTAGCATATTATGCTTTGATTGGTTGAACGGATGACCGGACGGCCAGCCACTTAGCATATTAGGCTTTTATTATATAGGATGGCAATACGTACACATATGAAAACAATTTCTAAAAATTTTGTATTTAGTAAATTTAAAAAGATGGTACTTTCTAGAAAAATACTTATTTTGCCTAAAATTGCATTTGTTACTACAAAATACATTAATTTATTCAGGTTTTAAAGATTATATAATATGAGAAAATATATTCAACATATTTCAATAAGAATTAAAAGGTGAATTTAAGAAATGTGTTAAAATTTGGATGCTAGGACATATTCTGACATACTATGATCTGATATTGAGACAATTTTCCCCCTAATTGGAGTTAAATATCCCTAGATCATACAATATGGGTAAGTCTTTATATTGCTAATACCACCCTGTGGAAATACTTTTGAATGTCTTTTTTATTATATGGAAAGAATTGAAAAGATGTTCTTTTTCACTATGATTGCTATTGAGTGAAGATCAAAAGAAATGACTTCAGGGTACAAAATGAGGACCATATGGCCCAGGAAAGGACAAGTTTGTTATCCTGTTAGTTGTTAGATTGTCAGGTAGATTTCCAAAAGAGTCTGTGTAGTTTCACTCTGTGAAACTTAGAACAGAGATTCAACCTTACAGGATAAGCTGTAGGTAGTTTTACCTATTTAAGAAATCACATTTAGTTCAGAGACCCCTAAATGTTATTTCCAATAAATAATGTATAATTTTTATGTACTTATATTAAGACTTTAGTTCAGATTCCCCTTATTCATCTTATTTGAACACAATGTAATAATGGGATCATGAATATTCAATATAATTATACCTATTCAGGTAAAAAATCACATAATCTATTAAAAAGTACTTTAGTAAATGCTCTATCAGTATGCAAGTCATAGCTGTCAATGACTGTCAGTAAAAAGAGCAGATGTGCAAAAAGGACTCAAGCAAAGAAAACTTCCAATAGGCACTATGTTACACCTTTTCCATATGAGTCATATTGCTTTATCATTATGCAGTATTTACACACACCACTTAATGCTGTGGATTTGTGTACACTTTAAATATAGATCCTTTTACTAAAACTCTGTAATTTTCCCATTAAAGCACACATCATCAAAATGTGAGAGACCTGTTTTTCTCTTATGTATGAGAAAATAAATTATTAAACAATATAGTTTTGCCTTTAGTTTCCCTAAGAAGCACTAAATATATTAACACTTCTTTTCTTCTCATATGGCCCCTGACATAATTTATCCTGCCTTACCCATTTCTTCTATTGCACTTTGTAGGGGCACTTTAGTTTACATTCTTCAAAACCATTAAGCGAATGGAGGAATAAACATGAAATCTAATGGACATTGTGCATTCTGGATTGCTGTGTGTATGTGACGCATTGATGTTGTGTTGCTGTCTCGCAACATTGCCATTATTTCACTCAGTTTTATCCTTGACAGAACCTAAAAATGTAATTGGCACACAATATGGGTTGAATAAATAGTGGCTTAATTAAGGGGGTATTGAGTTCTGCTACCCAATGTAATGTTTTGGAAACATTTTTATTATTTTTGTACCTTTACTTTAAATGCAGAATAAACCAGGACTTCACTAGAATTCCTTACCACTCCAGGACATCTTTTTTCCTATTTAAATAGTTGAGAGTGAAAAGAAGCTATGTGTCCTATTTTCCAAAGACTTAAGCCTGAATGTAAATTCACTTCTAGTGAAGGTGAAAATTAAAAATAACAGGTAATTTCATCTTTATCATTAAATTGCGTGAGATTTCTTCCTGACCAATTTAAAAGGAGAAAAAAAATGTGTCTCTTCAGTCTTCAGGAATATAAGTATCAAAGGATGCACGTGAGGAAGTGGGAGATAGAACTTAACAACTGGAGATAGAAAATACATTCTTTGGAGCGAGTGCACAATGCAAACTATGCGTCACCTTGCTGCTGCACTGGTGATGATCTTCAGGCTGCCTGGGTTCCGGATGAGCTTGTCCAGAATGCTGACAATCTGCTCAAACTTGGGTCTGTTGTTTCTGTCTTTCTGCCAGCAGTCCAGCATCAGCTGATACAACGCAGCTGGGCAGTCCATGGGGGGTGGCAGTCGATAGCCCTCGTCCACAGCTTTAATTACCTGGGCAAGAAGCAAAGTTTCCAGAGATTTAAGAGGTGGGGCTTCCAATTTCTTTATGGGCAGAACAAAATAATATGAGTATTTTAAAGTTAAGTGAAAAGTTCTCATTTTAAATCACTTAAAAAATAATAGCTTATCAAATAAATAAGATATTATTAATGCCCAAAATGTTATCTAAAGGAAGATCAAGAGCGAGAGAAAGTAAATTTAGAAGAGTTTGTAAAGATTTAATCTGAAAAGTTAATAAACTTTCAGATTAAAACTTAAAAAAAAATCTATGACAAAGGAAATTCAGTGAATTATAAAGAAACTTTTGTTTGGTAATATAAATTTCTATGGAAACTATAGAAATTAGAATGAATACAGAACCACCCCCCCCCCACACACACACACAGTTTACAGATTTTCTTTATACCACATTTCAAATCATGGTCAGGTCCTTTGGTAAAAGCTCATGAGTTGCATGGTTAAGTAACTATCAGCTTATTAGCATTTTTAAAAGACATAAAACAGTGATTTTAAACTTTACGTGTATGAGTCATCTGGAGAACTTAATAATATACAGATGACTAACCTCTGATTGCATCACTCTGGGACGAGGCCTGAGAACATGCATGCCTGCAAATCCCCAGGCCATGCTAAACCTGCTGGTCCCCCATTTTGGGGGGCTCTGATACAGAGAAAACTTGGAAAATACAGATGTGGAAAAGGGAGTCTGACTTTCCCATTATTGTTATAAAAAATAGCTTGTTTGAAGACGTACAAAAAGGTTTTCATATCCAAACACATTAAAAGCAGTTTTATGTGTGGTGAGTGGGAAATGACTAAAAGCATCTCAGCTTTCCTGCGTGTGCATTCTGAGATCACGCTCACGGTTTCTGGCTGAGCATAAAGAAAACCTCCGAGTGCTGATCCCACACGCCAAGAGCATCCTTTGACTAAGCATGAGCAAACATGACTTTCTAAAAACAAAAATCCTTTTGAAAAATCATATCACAGTTATAACAGAGTTAAAGATTATTTTTTTTCATCCAGAGACTTCAATTTGTATAATGAAATTCATGTGCAACATTAATGCATAATGAGGAACAACATGCTACAGATTGATTGTTTTGTCTGACTTTGGGAAATGCTATATTTAAATAAACAAAATGTTGGCATGGATGCATTAATTAAATCTACAAAGGCTGGCAGACATGTGTATCTTACTAATGTTACCTAGAAACAATTGTGTGGCAAAAATATTTCAAACACTCCCTGGCATATACTGGTTATCTTGATAGTCACTTATTTCATTACATTTTAATACAAATGCCTTCATTTTTGCCTCAATTCTAAACCCCTGCTTGAGGGAAAACTGTAAACCCTTAAGAGCAGTTCAATTACTATTCTAGCAAGATTTGAAACCGATTTCATTTTTTAAGTATTCTATTTCAATGTCACAAACTGGGAGCCACCTAGTTTCATTAGGCTCCCCTTCCTTGCATAGCTTGACCTTTTAATCTGACTCCATAACTCATGGACTACATATACTTACATCCTGATTGGACATCTCCCAGTATGGCCTCTCTCCATAGGACATCACCTCCCAGAGAACAATGCCGTAACTCCATACATCGCTGGCTGACGTGAATTTGCGATAGGCTATAGCTTCCGGTGATGTCCACCGGATAGGAATCTTTCCTCCCTTTGAATATAAAAGCACATGTGCACACATGATCAATGCCTAAGACACATACATTATAATCTGAAATCTGACTGAACTTGTCAGGGTATTTCTCTTTTGAAATGGGACATGGGTTTCCATTTATGTATCTTGATATTCTTCTATATTAATGTCAAACAGGACTGTGTGGCATACCTTTTACTGCAAGTGAATTTACTGCAAGTTAATCAACTTGCTTCCAATTGATTTAAAAGAATTTTAATATAAAAAGAAAAATTGAAAATTGCTTAAACACTGACATGTCATATCAACTGTGGTACCTTAGTCATCTGTAACAAAGCAAGTTAATGTGTATGTGCAATACTATTAAGTTAGAATAGAATGAGGAATCTCAAATCAACCTTTATTGATTTAATTAGATTTATGTTCTATCTACAATCTTAGTTCATAATGTGAATAAGTTTTCCTTGACACTTATAGGTATTTTTTAACTAAATAAATTAAAAATAAATTTTTCCATCTACCAACTCTCTTTAATATAATATTTGATTATCTTAATTTATTCAGTGCCTCACTTCATCATTATTTTTTAGTTTTTAAATTTTATTTATCTTTATTGTTGAGAGTATTACAGATGTTCCCCATTTTCCCCCATTGACCCACTTCATCATTATTTTTTCCTTCATTGACCCACTTTCATATACTAGGTAGATACAATATAAACAAGAAAGATAAGATAACTACCTTCCCAAACTTCCTAGAGAAGGATATTGGTTCTATGAGTTATAGTATATATAAAGGTAAGCCTCCTATGGAATTATCTCTCAGATTAATAAATACATTTAATGAAGATGTGCCAAGTAGCAACCATATGGGAAGTATTATGCTAGTCACTTTGGGTGAGACAAATATAAATAATATGCTTGCCCTCCTACTTGGAAAATATCAGGCAAACAGGAATAAGTATTAGTTGTTGTGCATAATTAAAAGCAGAAAAAATAATTATCAAAGAGATAAATTTTGCTTCAAACTTTACAACGTATATGAATCATCCGCGGCTTGCCCTCATGCCAGGGGAAAT